AAAAAAATCCTTTTTTCATTCTAAGAATAGGTGGGAAGTCTATTGGAAATTTCACACAGTTTTTATGATGCCGGAATTTCCTATGAAGTTTTTGTTTGGTTCTTGCTACATGTTTTCAGTAGGAAGTCTTTGGACAGGCTTTGTTTGTCAGTTTTTCTTGAATGGCTAATGTCTATAACAGAAACAAATCATCAAGTAGACCTGAAGAAGATCTGCTTCAACGTAAGAATTTTCAGATTTTGTGTAAGGAAACATATTTGTACCTGGTTTAGAAATGTTTCTTGAAGCTGACTCCGGTTGCACATCCTGAGCAAGGACCCAGCTTGGACCCAAGGCCCAAGCACACATGGCTGCTTAGGGCTGGGCCCACACAGTGTCTTTCCTGAGAACAACAACTTTTTTCTGACAGATTTTATCTTACAACAGGGAACATTATTTAGCCAACTAGCAGCAAGGAAATGTTTTCTTTCTGTCAAAGACCTTTGTACGGGGCTCCTCACTGTCATGTAGGCCCCAATATGTTTTTAAACATGAAAAGTCAGAGCCATCAGCATTTTTGCAGATGAGAGTGCCACGTATGTAGCATGCCAACCACACGTCCAGTACAACCAGTAATGGAAAAGCTAATCTTTTTCCCTATGTAGATACAGCCCTGACAGCTCCCGAGAGGGAAAAGTCACCCAGGAGGAGTGTGAGACAGCCATCAGGAAAGCACAACATTCCTGAGAGATGCGATGGAATCGAGAGGCTGTTTCAGCTGTTTCAGTGGCACTATGGTGTGTGTGTAGGCACAGGGGCTATTTACCAGTCTATGACTGACCTTCATTCCCTTGTTTGCATCTCATCCATTCTGTTGTAGTCAACCTTGCCTTCTTTCAAAAACAGGGTCTTTTGTGTGCTTATTAACACTATTAGCACTGGCTGTTTTCTAATTCTGGGTAATAATTGTGAAACTCTAATTACTGTAATTACTATGCTCCTGGGGTAAGGTTTTATTTTTTATAATTATTTCTAGTGATTTTTTTTGGTAAATACTTTGTTATATTAAAAGCATGATAGACAATCATAAGTCCTTGCAGCACATTTATGTATCAACCACCTCCACTTGAATTTCATCACTGCATTTCACCATTTATTAATCAGATATTACTAAATTTCTTCTGCCTCAAGCAAAAACAAGGAGTGGGAGAGAAAGTGACTGCTGACAAATGACAAATGATGTGACATGCCAAGTTTGATTCTGCCAACCAAGTATTAGTACCAGCCTAACAAGAGTTAAGATGGAGGCGACAGCTAGATGGCAGAACTGAATATATTCTAAACCTTCCCAGCATAACTCTTTAAGGAGGAAAAAAATGTTTCAGTGTGCGCAAACATTGAAAGACTTCAAGAAGCAACCTGAGACTTTGGTCAGTACATAAAGACCTTGATCCAGTTCCCATTTGCTTTCCACAGAAGGATCTACCTCTGTCTTTTGGAGTCTGTACTCTTAGACCAGTCTCTTGGTAGTAAGCAAGATGTTGTCTTGTGTCTGTTTTCTGATCACTCCTACACTGGTGGGATAAAAAGGTTTTTTTCTTCTAGAATAATCCATTAGATTAATTACACTGTCTCTCAGGAAATGACGTCTGAAATTACACTACTATACTCAGGTGCTCTACCACTTACAAACATGACCGTGGAGGCCTTGTGTGTTAGTATAATCCAAAATACATTATTTTGAAATAGCTTGTGGTCACACTGATATATTTTTATGAGTCTTGGACTTGCTTTTTACCTGTTAGTGTGTGGTTTGGAAAATTCTGATTCTTGTACTCAAGTGTAGGTATATTATACCATTAATTACTTGTCATTGCTTTTTTTGAGAATTTTGTTGTGAATGTAAAGTTGTTGGCCCCAGCATGAAGAAGATAGGGACTTTTTTTAAGGCTGCTTCAAGGGCTGCTTATTTGTTCAGGTTTTTTGTACGAATTCTTATGTCATCTTAGGCCAATCTTAACTAAAAACCACTTCATCACCTGTAATCAAAGAACTGTTCACGCAACTCAGCAATGATTTTTCTAAATGACTGTGAAACCTCATTTAGATTTTTAATAAACAGTCACATTCTAATGAGGTCTTCATAAAACTGACTAAATATGTTTAGAAATCATTAGCTTAAATTACCAGTACAAAAGTCTCCTTAGGGAGCCCTGCAGATTTTGTGATAAGGCTTCTGGCAGATGGATTAGTATAACAGCACAAGTGAGTTCTGAATTTCTACACAAGCAGTGTAAATGTGAGTGACTGGGTAACGGGCTACTAGATAAAGAGCTAAATGTCCCTCAGGTGGGTTCATTAAAAGAGAGAAAACAATCAAAACACATTTCTGTGCCATTTAAATACCAGGTGCACAGCAGTCTGCAGGTGCCAGAAACACTGACAAGGGTCCCTTGCTGAAACACACAAGAGCTTAAAGGGATGCATGGTTTTGACAAGTGTGCCTCAGATAACGACAGATACTGGCAGATGTACCCGGACCCTGCTGGAGGGTAATGTGGGGACTGAGTCATTTGCAGCAGGTGCTTGCATTAGGGACAGCCTCATGGTGATTCCTCCATCCGCAATTAAAACAGTCCTGATGCAGAATGCTCCAGGGCAAGAAGCAAGTTCCTAGCACTGATTTAATGACTATCCAGCCAGTCCCGGTAAACAAATACACATACGCCCCCTCAATGATTAATTCATGAAGGACGTTCTGTGTGGCAAACATGTTAAATAGATATTCCCCTTTCCTGAAAATATAAAGGAATTTTCCTCCTCAGCTTACAATGGGTCAAGAGGGTTAAAAAATAAAAATAACAAACCCCTATCAATCTTATACAGAATCACAGAATGTTAGGGGTTGGAAGGGACCTTCGGAGATCAATACCAGCAACAGCAATTGAAATAGAAAACCTCAAGGTTGGGAAGGTTACAAGGTTTGCCCCGCAGGAAAAAAAAAAAGGTCCATTAAAATCATTACTAATCAAGGTGGCACAGAGCTTGTGTTGGGGGTTGCAGGACAGATGGTGTGTTTGTAATGTGCCTCCTTGCTGCTGACGGTCCCAGCTCTGGGAGTGGGACGGAAGCACTAACGGAGGCGTGACTGCGCTGTTCTGTGGCTCATAGGATCTCATTTCCATTAAAAGCTCATTTCAATTTCTACTCTCCGATCTCACCTATATTGGCCTCCAGAGAAAGTGAGAACAAAGTCATTTCTGCGACTGTCAGAAACAACTAAGCTGCAGATCTGTATGCCACTAGGACACCTGCATCCTGAAGGAATCTCCCGGGTGGCACAAACCGTTGCTTGCTGCTAAGGGACTGTGCTGCGTACCTAAACATTGTGAGTCGAGGCCGCCAACACTGGCACCAAGACTGGCCTCTCCCTGCCTGAGACCTGACAGTTTGCTCTAATTGATGCTTTCAAATACTGACTGTAGGAAAACAGTATGTGGTTTCACGCAGTATGCTATTTTTGTGCTATGGCTTGTTTATCCATACCCTGAAAAACATCCCTTTTTAAGCTGTGTACTTGGGTACTTACGAATGTGTATAAAGCTTTAACAAAGAGGTTTGCTGGACAGCTTCCTATTCTCACAAAACCATCCATTTTGAATTGATATGTGACCATCCAACTCTTTCTATCTTCTTCCTCACTCAAGGGATTGAATTTTTAAAGTGGCCTCCATGATCCCCCTTTGTCTCTCCAATTAGTCGTACATGTGTTCCTGCAGCAGGTGTTAATTGCAGTCACAAATACCATCCTTTTTCGTATCTAAAAATAATGCAGGTACCTGATGTGTTGGCAGGCTTGGGCACACAGAAATCTAAACGTTAGGATTTATATTAACAATTGACAAAGGACATAAGGAAGAATAAACTGAGATTGTAAAACTGGACTTGCTAAAAAGGAAACAAGATCTGACACTTTGACTCACACCATAAAACCAGTGCTCTCCTCATGCAAATGCCACAGGGCAGAGGGGTATCAGCCACTCCACCAGCGTGAAATTAAAAATGTCTCTTAAAACCATGTGACTCACACCAAGATATGTGCACTTGCCTTCTTATTTCAACACTTCAATTTACAGTAATTGCAGTAGTTGCAATAAAAGCAGTAGGGTTTTTTTCATTCCAAATGACAGCTATATGCCCAGTTCCCAAGCACATTTGCTTGAAAAAACCCATCCCGGATGAGAACTAAGACACCAGTGCATAGACAAAGCAGTAAATTAAAAGACTCAGTTATTGACGGTTGTGAGAAACAAAGAAAGTGGTTCCATTCAATACTTGTTGAAAACGAAATTAGCTATAATGACATGAGTAGGAGGCCTACTTTAGAAGTTATCAAGCAAAGCAAGAAAAGTACACAGTATCAACCAGGTAACTTAATCCTTCCTTTACTATTCAGCTCCTGAAGACCACCTCCTGGTCAACAAATTTAGTGTACAAACAAGTAAAGCTGATTTTTTCTGTTTTAGTCCAAAAGGCCTACAGGAAGCAAAACCCAAACAAACCAAGTTGATTTAGACTAACATACTCCAAGGAAGGTGCAATCTCATAGTTTAATTACTTTCCTCTGAAATCTGTTTCAGAATTACTCTCGCTCAGGCTCCCTTAAAAAAGAGATGACTCCATACCTGGTTCTGTAACCAATCCCCTGGTTTCCCTTAACAGAAATGGTATATCTGAGATACATAGGAAGATATGATGCTTTTTCCTCTTTGGCAGTCTTTGCAGGCTGTGCTGTACAGAATCCAGCTTTATCAGTTACTTTTTCATTGTGGTAATGTTATCAAAGCCAAGCATCCAAGGCATGTTTAAAAATAGTTGATAATGAACCTCTTAGCACACGCCATCATAAATATTTTATGTGCTATACTCAGTATATAAGCATCTTGTTGGTCTGCTACTTAATTTCCAAAAGCAAACACCTTGAGAAGTCTTTCATCTTTTTAAGTACAAAAATCACTTACCCTTCCCACTTCTACGAGATTAGTAACCATGATTATGCTGGCTGTGTTTTCATGCCACACCATTCTCCAAAAGTCATATATTGTCTCCTGCATTGGTCCTGAAACAATAAATCAAAGGAAAGGTTACCATCTGAAAGTCTCATGATTGGAAGCTTGTCTCTGGGGAACTTTGAGAAACCGTGACTACACACATATATTCCTATCACTATCATCATATTTTTCATTTAGGGTCAATTTCTTTTCTGTCATCCCACCTATCTACATTTAAGTATTTTTCCCCTGAAAGACAGTTAGTTCTCCAGCATTTAGGTATTTATCTCTGTAGTACCCAGAAGTGGAATTATAAAAAATGGATAACATTACTCTTTCTCTTAACAATTGGATGATAACCTAGGGAAGGTGTATTTGGAATGAAATGAGCCTCAATGGACCATGTGGCCTTTCCTGGTTTCTAGTATTTTTCTTACTATACGCTATCCATCAAATTACCCCAGCCCCTAAATTGTACTTCCTGAAGTGAGACAGAAGATACAGTTTTTTGCTGCAGTATATCACTTTTCAAAATAGTGGGGAAAGCAGTGAAGAACCCTGGAACACCACAGCAGCCATGTCCTCTGCAGTGCTTTCCCCAACACTTTGGGGGCTTTTGTAGAGGAACACCCAGGGCTTCCTCTACCGTTGTACTAAAGCTGGGTACCAGCCCACAGGTAGCGTTACTGAAATGTGAAATGTTGAGAACCACCACACCACTTTGTGTTTGCCTGGTCCTGTCTGTTTCTAGCCTACGTGACTTACCTGTGACAGTCAGTGTGCCACCCCAATTTTAAACTACTGCTTAAAAATCACCAAGCCAATAAGAATACATACAGGCAAAATACTACCAGGTACTATAAACCTGACATCCATACTGTTTCCATTACTGAACTGCCACGCTGCAGTAAGCAATTAGTGGCTTATTGAGAGGAACGCCTTAAATCAGCTAATTGGAGAACAAACGGATAATTTATTGGCCTAAATATTCCTCTAGTGAAGAAACCAACACTCAAAGCAATAAAAAACCATACATTGACTGATTTGGGTAGTTTGGCATCCATGTTTTTTGGTACTTTGAGCTCCCTTTGAAAAGAACATTTTCAGTCTCAAAGTCAAGTCAAGTGAAAAAAGTAGTAATATATTATCATGGTGGAGGCGTTGGAACTAGATGATCTTTGAAGGTCCCTTCCAACCCAAACCATTCTGTGATTCTATGGCTTTGTGATTCTATGATACTGTAGGCAAGTCCAAACTAACTCACTAGGGAAATAACATCACAGTTATGAAACAGCTTACTTAGAACTCAAGTATACTAAAAAGATGGTAATAACCTAAACCTTGAACTTAAAAAAAAAATTTATTTTCAACAATTTCAAAGGAAAATTTTATCATTTATAATTTGCATAGACCATTTAAAGAAGTTATGTATGCTCTCCCATATTTTCTCTGCTTTTAAAAATTCTGCATATATAGTTAGTTTCACAGGTTTCCCTATAGTCACTCAACTTGTCTTTTACTTGCTTTTGTAGTTCATATAACAGGAGAAAAAGCCATGTAAAACAATATTAGTCTAACTAATGGCTGTTGGAACACAAGAAACGTCAGAAGGTCTCAGAGCAGAAATAACAGCAGAATCTAAAACTACGGTTTCTGAAATTACCAAATTCAAGCTAATGTTGTGGCTGTGAAACTGGGCATCTTTTAATTTACAGAGTAGTTAATATTTTTGTGAGATTTCATTATGAAGCATGCTAAGAGCTAAATCACTCTCCATCACATGGAATTTTACAGTAAGTATTTTACTTCTACATAAGTCTCCTGGATATTTAACACAGACATGGTCTGAGTGCAATTTTGAATGTCACAGTGAGATAATTAATATGCAATATAGTGAAAGTTTAGCTTGCTTGTTTTTAATAATGTAGGATTCAATATAGATTTTTGAGCAATTAAAGTCACAACAGCATTAGAAAGGTTTTGGGCCAACCTCTCCTGCTGGTAAAAGGAAGGAGTTTATTTTACCCACTGTAGAAAAACAGTGCCTCTTCCTACAGCTCCTTCCTTCCTCTCAAATCTCAAACAAATATTCAGCAAAACTACTATTGCTACCATTTTGAAGCAGTGTAGCTAAAAATAGGCTTAGCAGTTTTGCACAGAATAGTGTCCCGGAAAGAGTCTGCAGGTTCATGACACATTAATAAAGTTATTTAAGCTTGATCAAGGACAAAAAAATAACAATATTATTGCTTCAAGAATCCTGATTCACCACCTGGTTTAACAAAGAAAATCTAAATGGCTCCACTGCATCCTGTCACCACAGAACTATGTGATGTTTCAAGATTGTTCATATGAACATGGTTTTGGTAGAGTTGCAGAAAAGGTGAGAAAAGATCCTCTGTCTACAAAGCCCTCTTCTTTTTTCCTTGCAAGAAGCCAGAAAAATTGGAGAAAATGAGGGGCAATGTAGACAGTTGTACATATGTACATTTCAGTTTTCCTTCCTAAAGATTCACTTGAGATATAAGATGGTTGGGCTTATACTAACCATCTTTTTGACAGCTCTGGGATAAACCACAAAAATTTATTCCTGATTTTTTTTTTTTTTAAACAGGCAGCATAATTTGTCTCGTGATTTAAAGTTTCCTATGTTTCAGATCCTAAAAATCACAAATTACAACTGGGGAGAGACCCTAAACACTGATTTCTTCCTAAATATTTTGAATTTGTCATTCTTTAAAAAAACCCAACCAAACAAACAAAAACCCAAACCAAACCAAAAAACCCAAACAATTATGAGAAAATTACATCTTTAGAAAAAGCAATGGCATTTTTCAGGTCAGAGAAATAGCTGAGCTCTGACAAGTCTCAAGCTTAATTCCAAATGTTCTTCTCAAAGAAATGTCCTATTCTGCAGTGCTGAGTATGCTCTTCTCAATCTTACTATCCAAATGATAAGACAATCTTAATTAAAAGTGCTTGACAGTATTTTCTGCTTTCCTCAAGTATTCTCATGTGTTTTCTTGCTTTTCTTCTCCATTCTTACATGTACCCTCCAAACTTCTTTCACATTCAGGACACTGAAAGCAAAAAAACCACCTGAAAACCTACCTTAAAGTCTCAGAAAGTAATTCTTTTCTACCCCATTTTTCTTTTCTTCTTGACATTTTTCAAATTATTTTCTGACATATGAATAAATTATTACTTGTCTCCAGCCAGAACTGAAAAGCATTAGAGGCTAGGTAGGGTTGGAGGATTTATTGTCATGAAGAACTGAACAATTTGATTCCAGGGACTCGTGGTAGGGAGAGAAAGGGCCTATAATTGTTCTAAGCATCAACTTAACAGATGTGTGCACAATAGGCAGGCAGGTTGTTCTCAGCAGTTGCCCTCGTGCAGGAGGAGAAGGTCTGAAGAGAAGGCACTGTGCTCCCTAACAGTAAGCCCGCGGCGTACCCCATTAGCTACACAATATACTAGTTGGTATCAAAGATTTCTGCTGTGGAAAAAAGAAATCAACAACATACTGCAACTAGAAGATGAAAAGCAAAGGAAAATAAGAAAAAGAAATCAACCCTCCAAACCCCCAGCTAATTAAACGCATTATTGAAAAAAAATCAACAGAAATGATCAGTCGTCTATATCACAACCGTTAGCTGTACTACCCATAGTTGTTAGCTGCTGCTCTGGGAATGCAAACATATTAAGAAATGGAAAATCATACAGCTTTTAAGAATGGTTTAAACTCCTAAGAAGCTGCTTGTGTACACAGAGCTTTCTAGAGCCTTTCTTTCTGTTTGTTACTGTGAGACCCCGTTCTAACAACTGGTATTGCTACTGGGGTATGTGCTCAAGTTGATCATGACAAACTCGCTCAGAATACAGGAAAAAGTGGTCAGATGTGGGAAAGAAAGCAAACACACAAAGAAGCAAGTAAAACCTGAATCCTGAAATGACCCCAGCACGTACTCAGATGGGACTTGTAAATCTATGGGTCATTTTTCAAATTCTAGAAAGGCAAGCAGCTTAAACAAGGAACAAATAGCTTCTAATACCCTTTTCTAGCACAGAATGTCAAATCCACAAGCTAATGTTTGGTCCACCTGAGACCAAATTCAGTGACAGATATTAAAGCTAGAAGTGTGCACAAAATGAACAGATCCCTTTAAGCTGCAAAGGCTCCCCAGGGACGGTGCACGGGCAGTGGTAGCCGTTAGCATGTATTGACAGAGGCAGCAGATTGACAGGATGCAAGACGTACACCTGCAGCAGTTAAATTCCATCTTGAAAAGAGTGCAATAAACTTCCTTCCAGTGAGCAGACGCATCCAACACGCGTCAGGAGGTGGTTATAAAATGGTCCCTTCACCTAATGGCTACTGGAGTTTCTAGTACCAATGATAACAGTCTTCACTTTTTACTGAAGCAAAACTTGCTGCTTGCTGTTGCGACTGCCTACAACCCGACCACTCAAGGACAACTAGCTACTGCGCCTGTCTGGAGGGAGCTGCGCTTTAGCCATCACTCCTTACTATGTATGATCCCTTCAAAATCAACGTGACATACAGGAAATGTTTTCTTGTTTCTAACAGATATGGCTGCATGGCCAAAAAAAAAGGAGCCAAAAAGCAATGATTCCCTTTGCAACTACACTGTCAAAAAACCCCAAACCCATTATGTAGTAGAAATTGTTCAAAACACACATGAAAGCATAAAACCAGAGATTAAAAAGAAGAAAAAAAATTACTGGGAGAACAGACTGCAAGCTAATAGAGTAAAAAGTTCAAGAATTCTCCTTTTCCTAATCAAACTCTTAAATGGGACAGACTAGCTGTTAGTAGGATAACTTAACAGAGTTTTGCAGGAGGAAAGAAAATTACAGGGTTACTAACGCTCTGCCAGTCCAGTGATCTGATAATCCCTAAGTGTATGTTACTTGCTCATTTAACCATGCTAAAATCTGGAGGTAAGAACAAGATGTCCTTTCAGAAAAAAGTTATGTAAAAAACCCGAAGCTAAATGTTACTTTAAACTATAAATATCACTGACTGCAGGCAAGGGAAGATCTT